CCCCCCCCCCCCTTTTCTTCCGAAATTACCTTTTTTTTGTAGGTAATTTTCCTAATTTTCCCCCCTTTTCAGATCTGAGTCTTTTTATTTCAAGAAATGCTTGATATCTTGGAGAACACCTTCAGCCATCAGGCAAATTTCAATCAAATATCCTGATAGCCTAATTGATATATCAACGTTAATTCAATTTTCAAATTCAACTTAATTTCAACATTGATTCAACATTGAGGTATCAATGTTGATTTAACATTGAAACCTCAAGGTTGATTCAACCTTCATGGTTCAACGTTGATTCAACTTTCATAGTCAATGTCATATCAACATAGTTTCAACGTTGGCCATCAACGTTGATCCAACATTGATACCTCAAGGTTGATTCAACCTTGATGGTTCAACGTTGATTCAACTTTCATAGTCAACGTCATATCAACATTGATTCGATGTTGATTTGCCCGCTGGGAACTGATCCACTGACTAAATATGGCCGACCACACTTCAAAAGCCAAGCTTCTGATTCCCGATGGTCTCCCTGCCTCCACACGCGCCATTAAACAGATTAAATCTTGGCTCTGAGGTTTAATTGCTAGGCCCATGCAGTGAAGATGCGTGTAGAGGCAGGGAGACCATGATGGAATTAGCAGCATCGCTTTTGAAGTGAGGTCGGCCGTATTTAGTTGGCGGATCAGTTAGTGCTTGGATCATCTTTTCTGAATGGCCCCTTTACCAGTTTGTAATCGAACTGTTAAGCAGTTAATATTCAGGGTTTCATGTTGAATAAAATATAACTGATTTCATTTGTGTTTACTTTCAATGCAACCAGCAGTCATCATCAAAGGTACTTGCATGTACTTTACATGAATATTTTCTACAATTTTAATCTACGGCAGTGATTTTGTAAATAAGGATAAGATCCAAGCCATTAATTAAGAGAAACCATTTGTTAAGGGATTTCTTAGGCACCCTAATAGGCATTTCTGTGAGAGTCTAATAGCTGTTTAAAAATATAATTCCTATAGTGGTCCTACATGTACAAGGCTTTCTATAGGAGTATTATAGGATTTGGCTAAAAATCATATAGGATGCCTAAAGGAGTCCATCATCGCATTTAGAACATACGTATGTTCGTTGGATCTACTGGTTTGCAGATCAAATATGGCAGACCCTACATGAAAGCAAGAGTACCTTATCCTTTAATGGTCACACAGATTAAATTTTGGCTTCAAGGTTTAATTGCTAGGCCCCTGAGGAAAGGCACGTGTGGAGGCGGGGAGACCATTAAGGGATTACGCGATCTTGCTTTCATGTAGGGTCTGCCATATATATTTGATCCACAGACAAGTAGACCTAAGGATCATCGGCTCTGAATGTTAGGAAATTTCTTTTATACAATATAAAATTCCAAACAAACTGGTTTGATTGGATGTTGGTACATAAATTATCATAAGGACTGCATGAATACAGGTTTGTCACATTTGTGAATAACTGCATGATATGGCAAAAGTGAAGAACCTGTAAGTACATACAGTTCAATAGTCGAGTACTGTTGCCATTAACTTACAGTTGGTGGCCAGGAATCTTCAAAACTAACATTGGAATCTTCATTGATTTTTGGTGGTTTATCTCTTTGTTCAGCAATTCGAGTTGGCTCATCCTACAATTACACAAAACATGCACTGTTTCAGTATGCAAAAGTATTAAGTTTTGTAATTGACATATAATGACTAGCTGACACCCGTTTAGAGGTATGTACTTGTACCTATAGTTAAACCAGTTGCTCAGGCAGTACAAGTACCCAGGAAACACCAAATTATAGACTGTCAATTAAAAATTGGACTTAATAACAGAGGGGACTGGTAACACGGAGCAAGATCAAAGGATAATCCGCTTAGTGTGAGCTCTTCGTGAAACCATGTGCATTCGCATCATGTGACCTCCCATACAGGTAGCGAGCATACCGAGGTTGTCGAAGACTTTTTGTGTCATTTGGACAGGTAGATGGCGATAATGTAAGGCAGTCCTTCAGGTGGATGAGACAATAAATTTATAGAGATTAAGTATAAGTACAATTTGTTCTTTCAATTTGAAAGCTATGTGAGAATTTGATATGTTTGTTCACCAGTGTTCCCGAAAAACAGTCAGACAGCCGGACATGTCCGTCATAAATTGAAAATGTCCGATGTGAAACGTCAGCATGTCAGTCACAATGTCCGTAATAACAAATGGCAGAGCATTTAAAATACTTAGTCCTGGCCCAGTTGCCAGTGCTTTTTGCCACTGCATAAAGTATACTCCAGCGCGAAAATGTAGAATATGCATTGATGCTAGTCTTGCCCTATCAAGCATTTTCTAGCCTCCTAGATAAAATCTGAACACCAGGTTTATTGAGGAGCTAGAGAAACAAAGGAAGAATTTTTCCTGCAGAGCTTCATAGGAATCTTAACACGGACTTGATCCAGCTTAGACCTCCAAACTAACAGGGTAACATGGGCAATTTTCACAAACAGATAATAAAACTATATTTCAGTTAGCCTCCTTTTAAATAAATATACCATTATGGGTAAATTAGAATATTTATGAAATTGCAAGAATATTTTTGACTTAAATGATGATTTTATTATTAATGGAAATTAATTAAGCTACTATATGTGGTTCATTTGCTGTGATTACGCTGCCCTTCATGTTTTGCGTTAGTCTACTTTTTGCTGTACGTGCTCAGAATTTTTTAAAATCTGTGCGTACAATTTTTTTAGGTCTGGTAACGCCCCTGTTATGTGATGAAAGTCTAAATTTGGCAATTAGTTCCTTTGCTTATTTAAATAGAATTGCAGTGTAAAAGTTTCAACAAGATGTTGGTGCAATAGCCCTTCACTTTTTGTGGATATTTCCCCCGTCAAAGTTTCTCTAAAATTATCTTTCAATCTTTACTCTTTCAAGGGCAGTATAAAGTTATCTGACATATTTTCGTGAAAACGTCATGACAAGCCAAGTGTCTCAAGTTCATTCCGTACCCCATTTTTACCCAAGCAATATTTTCTTGAGAATAATAACACCTGATCATTCCAACATTTTTCAGTTGAATTCCCAATGAAAATATGGCAGTTGACTTTTGACAACTTTGGAGTGTTCGTCAAACAAAAAGCTAGAGTATTTGTGCAGATATGCCTCTTACATTCATTAAATATGTTCATTAACAGATCAAAGGGACAGTCAACAGCCTTGGAGTGGACTGTGTTCATGTAGAATTTTGTTGTTACCAATATTCTTATGAACTACAGTTTTGTGCAGAGAAGGTGACATTACGGATACGCTTACTCCAAAAACGATTAAGTTGTCTTACGTACGCCCCTTAAGAGGACAAAAGAATTGTGTGAAAATCCGTAGGCTAAAGGACAATGCCGACTTACGTACATCTTACTCACATCTTACGTACATCTTACACACATGCAGCGATGAGTAAAAAGGGGTGGGCTTATGCAAATAGGGTGACGGCGGGGTGTTTCTCGCCTTACGGCAACACAATCATGTTTGAAAAGAGGCGTGATATATGATCTTGCTTAATTGTGGGCTATTAAATCGTCCTCTGTTACGCTGCGACGCGACCCTTTGCCCTGGTTAGAATGGGAAGTTTA